ACTCTACCATGCAATATAAGCTCACCTGAAACACACTTTCTCGTTATCTTCGTTACCTCTTGCTACGAAAACTTGCATAGGGACACACTGGTTTCATCTCTGTTGTTTTCACCCAAAGATCACCCAGAGTTGTAATGATGATGATGATGATGATGGTGATAGTGATGGTGATGGTGGTTGTGATGATGGTGATGATGATGATGGTGATGGTGATGATGATGATGATGCTAATGATGATGATGATGGTGATGGTGATGGTGATGGTGATGGTGATGGTGATGGTGATGGTGGTGATGATGATGATGATGGTGATGATGATGATGATGATGATGATGATGATGATGATGATGATGATGATGATGATGATGATGATGATGATGATGATGATGATGATGATGATGATGATGATGATGATGATGATGATGATGATGATGATGATGATGATGATGATGATGATGATGATGATGATGATGATGATGATGATGATGATGATGATGATGATGATGATGATGATGATGATGATGATGATGATGATGATGATGATGATGATGATGATGATGATGATGATGATGATGATGATGATGATGATGATGATGATGATGATGATGATGATGATGATGATGATGATGATGATGATGATGATGATGATGATGATGATGATGATGATGATGATGATGATGATGATGATGATGATGATGATGATGATGATGATGATGATGATGATGATGATGATGATGATGATGATGATGATGATGATGATGATGATGATGATGATGATGATGATGATGATGATGATGATGATGATGATGATGATGATGATGATGATGATGATGATGATGATGATGATGATGATGATGATGATGATGATGATGATGATGATGATGATGATGATGATGATGATGATGATGATGATGATGATGATGATGATGATGATGATGATGATGATGATGATGATGATGATGATGATGATGATGATGATGATGATGATGATGATGATGATGATGATGATGATGATGATGATGATGATGATGATGATGATGATGATGATGATGATGATGATGATGATGATGATGATGATGATGATGATGATGATGATGATGATGATGATGATGATGATGATGATGATGATGATGATGATGATGATGATGATGATGATGATGATGATGATGATGATGATGATGATGATGATGATGATGATGATGATGATGATGATGATGATGATGATGATGATGATGATGATGATGATGATGATGATGATGATGATGATGATGATGATGATGATGATGATGATGATGATGATGATGATGATGATGATGATGATGATGATGATGATGATGATGATGATGATGATGATGATGATGATGATGATGCTACACCATATACTATGCGTAGTAATGATAATAATAATACTAATGATGATTATGATGATGATGATACGATGATGAAGATCATTATCATCATAATGATAATAAGAACAGTAATGATAATAATGATGATGATAAATATCAATAATAATAACAATAATGATAATACTGAAAATAATCATAGTAATACTAATGGTGATAGTAATAATAGTAATAATATCAGTAATAATGATCAATGATTATGGTAATGATGATTATAATGATAGCAATAATAATGACAATGATAAATATCATAACAATAAAAGTAATAGTAAGGATTATAATGAAAATAATGATATGATAAGGATAATATTGATATGAACAATAATGATAACATCATAATTAGTAGTATAAAAGCAATTAATAATAACAAGGATAATGATAATATTAATGAGAACAATAACCATGATAATGATGATAATAATTACGGTAATGATAATAATGATAATAGTAGCAGTAGTAAAAATAATGATAATAATAGTAACACTAATAATGAAAATAATAATAACAGCAACAGAAATGAAAATAATAGTAATGATAGTAATGATAATAATGATAATAATAATAATAAATAATCATCATAATAATAATAATAACACTAATAATAATGATGATGCTAATAATGATGATCATAGCAGCAATAATTATAATGATAATAATAATAATGATATCTATATTAATAATAATAGACATATGATAATAATGATAATAATAAAGGAAAAATAGAAGAAGTAATACAAGAAGAAGAAGAAGAAGAAGAAGCAGAAGAAAATGATGATGACGAGGAATATGAATAAGAATAAGAAAATCAATAAAGGAGAAGAGAAGAAGAAGAAAAAGAAGGAAAAAAAATAGAAAGATCGACCTTCCTCTCTTCCTCCCCCCTCCTCCCTTTATCCCTTCGCCCCCCCCTCCCCTCCCCCTGTCACCAACACCCTCCTCCCCCCTGTCACCCTTCCCCCCTGTCACCAACACCCCCCTCCCCCCTGTCACCAACGCCCTCCTCCCCTCCCCCTGTCACCCTCCCCCCTGTCACCCTTCCCCCTGTCACCAACACCCCCCCTCCCCTCCCCCTGTCACCCCCTCCCCCCTGTCAC